ACGTTCTTTTGAGTTAAGACACTGAGTTATGTTTACTTAAAATGTAAACTTTGAATTGATTTACAGTTTGACATTTAGAGGGTCAGGAAGTGGGTCAGCGGTACCTGGGTTCCATACCGCGACAGAAGGAAAGAGAAGAGAGTGGAGAGAAAGGGAAGGGAAAAGAAAAGAAGGCAAGGAAGAAGAGAAAGAAAGAGCCGAAAAAGAGGAGAGAGAAAACAAGAAGCAAAAAATAAAGCAAGTACCTTATGACTAATCAGAAGTTCATGAGCATCAATTTCCAATGTTACCAATATTACATTCATTTATATTTGCTGTAATTGGGTGAAATGTTGGGCAAAAGAAACCCAGTTTTACTCTAGTATGTTTTGCTCTATAGAATTATGCTGCACTCCAGCATCAACTGGAGGGAAATGTGAAGGGTCGATCATATCACCCATTACCTCACTCTCAGTCTTCCTGGAGACACCTGCTTCTTTCTGAGTTGAAACCTACCTCAATTCTCTCCTTGTCTGAAAAGTTTTCCCTGTTCTTTTCCCAGAGTTCAGCTCAGACATCACCTCCTCCGTGCTTGATCACATCATGAGGCAAACATGTAGACAGTCTGGAAGTCTCACTACTTTTTTTTTTTTCCTTCCGCAGCTGGGATAGTAAACACAGAGGAAACTTGCTCACTTACCAAGTTCCAACTAGAATTGTGTTCTTAATCTACATGGCCTCCTGCAATTTTGTGGCATTTGTTGGTCTCTGCTTTCTTATAGCTCAACCCTCTTAAGTGTCTGTTTCCAACCCTAATAAGGCTGGAAGCCTCTTCAGGACAGGATTCTGCATTTCTAGTGTGAAGTTCTAGAATCAGACATGAGCTAGGTAAGTGGTGTGGTAACGAGCCTTAAAAAAATAGAGAGCGTTACATCTTTCCAAATCTCGCTAGTCTTAAATTAACTTCAAAACAGATGGGCCAGAGAGATTGCTCTATGGGCTGACACAGGCCTCGCATTCAGAAGGGCTGAGTTTGACCCTCAGCACTGCATATTCCCTTGAACATCTCTGAATGTGATTCCCAAGCACAAAGCTAGGAGCAGTACCCGAGCACTGGGGGAGCAGGAGATGGGAGTGTGACTTCAAAACAAAATACAAAACCCAAACGACCAACAAACAAAAAAATGAGAGCATCAGAAACTCTCATGGTTTGATTGTGTAGCATGCTTTCTCATACTCAGGACTGTTGGCATTTGCAGAGGATAATTCTTTGCTGTGTGGAGTGCCCATTGTGATTACCAATATGCCCAACCTCTACACACTAGATGCCAGTAGAATCACCACCCTCCATCTTCTGGTTGTGACAACTGAAAATGACACAGGGAGTTCTGGGAATCATTATCACCTCAGCTGAGACATCCTACTCCTATCAACTTTTTCATGCTGCAGAAATCTCTAGAATGACTCCTTCAAAACTGACCAGTTTAGAAAGTTTTTCCTTTCTGCCTTCTCTCAGTGCTGTTAACTCTCTTTCAGGTGCTTTCTGCATCTCCTCCCTCCATTATTGCAGCATGGATAGAGTACCAAGTTTTGTCTAGATACTCAGCATTGAGACTAGGCATAAGTCTCTGGTCTCCCTTTCTTGGGAGAGACAATTCAGCACCCATTTCTCCCTATAGTGTGTTAGAAGGTGTCTGCTCGGTGCCACAGAATTAGGAATATATCTAATTTACTTGGAGGGGGTCGTAGACTGACGAGCACAGAAAGCAGTTAAGCTGAGTCTTGAAGAATGAACAAGAATGGTGGTGGTGGGGGTGGGGCTGGGGGGGCACAAAGCAATAGTATAGTGGGTAGGGCCTTTGCCTTGTATCTGGCTGACCGTGGTCAATCCTCACATTCCATGTAGTTCCCCAAGCACTGCCAGGAATTATTCCTGAGCGAAGAGCCAGAAGTAAGCCTTGAGCATCAACAGGTGTGGGTCTGGAGTGATAGAATAGCAGGTAGGGAGTTTGCCTTACATTTAGCCAACACAGGTAAAGTACCTGGCACCTCATATAGTCCCCCAGTTTGTCAGCAGTGATACCTGAGCATGGAACCAGGAGTAAGCCCTGAGCAAGTCAGGTGTGGCTCCCAAACAAGCAAACAAAGAAAGTATTTAAAAAATGAACAAAAATGAGCTGGAAAAGAAGAAAAGAGATTTTCCCAAATAGAGCATATATCATATCAGCAAAATCGTGTTATCATCAATGCAGGGTGGGAATTGGGGAGCTAATTATACTATTCAGAAGCACTGCAAATGATCTTGAATTTAACTGGCAGCTTGGAGCATGTGTCATAATTGGATTCTAGAGAGATAGAGAGATCTGGAATACTAAAAATTATAAAAATGGTGGGTTTGATGTAGGAACTCAGGCGACTGGTGGCATAACTCCTTAAGAGACTTTCTAATAAAAGAATAGCACTGATTTTATGCACCTTTTGATAGCCCCACGGGAGGGATGCTTTTTCTAAGGAGCACGATCACAGAGGGGTAAGAAGAAAGATCCACAACAATACAGGTACAAGAAGGTAGACAGATGGAGTCTTTTACCACCGAGTCAAAACCTTTTTTCTCCCAGAGTCTAAGACTGTACTGCATTTCCTTGTGGAAAAGATCAGCATTTTTCAGAAAGACAAATGGTAAATTTGACCATTTTTATTTTATTTGTAAATTTTTTAAAAATTTTTAAATGTTTATTATTATTATTATTATTATTTTTTGCTTTTTGGGTCACACCCAGCGATGTTCAGGGATTACTCCTGGCTCATACACTCAGGAATTACTCCTGGCAGTGCTCAGGGGACCATATGGGATGCTGGGAATCAAACGTGGGTCACCCAGTGCAAGGCAAACACCCTACCTGCTGTGCTATCGCTCTAGCCGTGGCTAAGTTAAATTCGACTGTTTTTAAGTACAAGGTTCAGCCTGTGTAGGAATTAAAGATATTTCACCTGTTTGTGTTTGTGTGTGTGTGTGTGTGTGTGTGTGTGTGTGTGTGCGCGCGCGCATTGGATTTGCACGGGAGCTGAACCTATCTTAGTTTCCATGGGAATGTGAAGTACAGATTGGCTTTCAGACGCAGTGCGTTCGCCAGCTGTGAACGGTGCATGCCCGTGCAGACCAAGCACATGCATAAAATGACAGGAGCAAAAATGCACCAGACAAGTCATGATTAGAGTTCTTGTATATATGGAAAGGAGCCTGGGGCAATTTAAGAGCAAGGCTGCTGACCACACAAAATGCAAATTGAAGTGAGTCTGGGCAGCTGGCTGTTAGGGAGGGGAGGGGGGCTGCCTGGGTGAAGGGGGTGGTCTGTGAAGCTCCAGAAACGACCCCAGGACCTGGCCCTTATCAGTGTTGGGTCAAGCGCATTGGATTTTTGAAATGCATCTCCACAACCAGATCCCACCACGTCCAATGAAATTTAAGCTCAGAGTTAGCTTAGGAAACAGCAGGAAGTGTGTATGTGTGTGTGTGAGACAAGAAGACAGAGAACAACATGGATTTATCCAGACAATTAGTGAAAGAAGCTGAGTTAGTAAACACTTCCCGGAGCAAAAGCTCATGAGCTAGAGTCCTTTCCTTTCTGAAGCAGAAAGAAATATGAACCTCAGGTGGTGACCTGGAGTGACTCCAGAGGCAGTTGAGGGCATCAAGTTGGACCAATGAATTTTACTTCCGGGAAGGAGCCCCTAATGGATTAAAGAGTTGATCTGCTGATTTGTAGTCAAAACATGGCGACCCCTTTCCTCTGATTCATCCATTTCTCAGAAGGCTGTGACTTCTTAGAAACCTCAATAATTGAGAATTCGTTGGCCCACACAGTCACACAAACTAACTTATCTTGCAGCCTCTCCTTGTGGCAGGCACCTGGATCACTCAGGGCAAATTTACCTTCTTAAAACAATGCTTTGGGAAAGCCGGGTCTGTCTTCCAAAACATAGTCTGCACCTCCCTGGGGCCCACGGGACAAAGTCCAAACCTCCAGCCTTGCCTTTAAGGTCCTCTAGAGGTCTCATTTGAAAAGCCCCATTTTTGCGTACTAGGTGGCCAAGGTAGTGGCCAAGCTCTTCCAGCTCCCACCTAAACAAAACCTGAGTCTCCCCAGACCCCTTACTCTAGTCCAAGCCTCGCAGGTTCTGTTCTTTTCCCAGGATGCTGACCAGTCCCCGGCCAGGGAGAGACCACACTTAAGTGTGACCCAACGTGCTAGCAAAAAAAAAAAACAAAAAAAAAAAACAAAAAAACACGCCTGGCACATTTCAGCAGCCCCACCAATGACCCTCTTCATCCTGTCAACTCCCTGCACTCCCTGCAGGATTCTTGACTGTTCTCTCACGTCTACAGCCCACACTTCCTCCCTGGGACCTCCCACCAGGTGAGAAATTGCATCTGAATATTTATTTTAATGAGAGTAAAGTCAGCTTTGACACGCACACAAAGAGGAGCTTCCTCCTTCTGCCGCTCTCCCACCCCACTACTGGATTTCAGGTTCTTGGACAATGATGGGAACGTTGGCATCGTCTCTGCCACGCCAAGGTGAGCCTCCCTTTAGCTGAATCACCCAACGCATTTTTCCCTGCGAGGGAAAAAAAAATTATTATTATTTTTATGCACAGACGTTAAAGCACCTTCAGGCTGAGAGAGCACAACAGGTGCCGTCCTGCCAAAGCGAAACAGTCTCCCAGAGATCTGCTAAGCGAACCCAAAGCGTTTTCTTAGTTAATCTAACGTTCTTTAAACGTGGCTTCAGGGGCTTTTCGGCAAGAGAAATGCCCTCTCTCCTCGGCTCTGCAGTTTTTCGCTCATCTCTTACTACCCAGAGCCCGTCTGACTTGTTTATCTGGCCTCAATCTCTGTCGCACAGTCATCTCGCTCGGCGACCGGGGTGACCACGTTTCCTTAAATCAGAGCCCCGTGGACTCTGCTTGGGAACTACACTACCCAGCAGCCCCCGCGCTCTTCGCAGGAAGGACGTCTGCGCACTAAGATACTCAGTTCCAAGTTTGGAGCTTTTAGCTGCCAGCCCTGGCCCATCATGTAGCTGCAGCAGAGCCTTCCCCAACGTTGCAACTGTTGGAAAAATCACTCTCCAGTCTGTTTTGCAAGGTGTGCATTTTCATCTTGATTCCCTGAAAGTCCATCTGCTGCATCGGTCAAGAGAAACTCCACTTGCATGAAGATTGCACGCCTGCAGCTTGCATCTTTGTTGCAAAACTGCTACAGAAGAGAAGCAAGGCAAAGTCTTTTGTGCTCCCCTCCCCCATCAAAGGAAAGGGGAAAATGTCTCAGTCGAAAGGTAAGAGCCTGTTTGCATTACTTGCAAAAATGCAAAGGGTTGTGCATGCATTTATGAATGCATGGATGCAATTTTCGTCTGACGATTGCATTTTTAAGTTTGAGGTTTTCCACAGCTCAGTTGCATTTCCTGTTTAGTATGTGTCTTTTTTTTTTTTTTTTTGCAGACACAGAGAGTTCCTGTAAGGCAGGGCTTGCAGTTCAGCTGTGCATTGACGTTATTTGCATTCTTCTGCTAGGATTACTGAGCTCTTTTTGCCTTTTGCACAGTCAGGAGAGATAGGGCAGGTTGGTAGCGTCTAAATGTGCAATGCTTTATATAATTGTAAAATTATTTCGTATGCACACTGACTAGAACTCATTTTATGTGCAACAGGAATACAAACTTTTGAAAGTATGTAGGTGAAGATGAAAGGTAAAACTTGAGTTAAACTAGTAGGAAATTAATGTAATCTTATATGCCTTTGGGATTGAACGCTGCCGTGTCAGTATTTAGCTAAATTTCCATTGATATCGCCTTGAGCATTAGACAACTTTTGATTTTTAAAGGAAGTAAAGGTGAAGTGTGAATAATAACATATCACCCCCCAAAAGCAGACAAGAAGTCTTTCTCTTCCGAGATTTTGCACTTTGCACCAATTGCTTATTGGCTCGCAGTATTTAGAAGCAGCAAACAGGACATAGATGTTTTATGTCTTCCCATTTGGGAGATGCTTGGCGTGTGGGGGGTAATGCTGGCAGAAAATTGCACTTTTAAGCATCGTACCCATGTGAGGAGACTGCATTCTTCCCCGGATAACCATAACCAAGTCTTTTAAGTGTGTAATTGCATATATTGGCTATCATAGGTCAGAAGTTCAGGGTTATGGTGATTTTCTTTATATATTTCTCTTATTCTTCAAAATAGTTTTTGTTTATACAGTTGTATTTTGCAGGCTTCATGTCAGGCAAAAGAGAAGATTTATATGTATGTATATATATATGTAAATATATTTAATTTTTGACATGGCATCAGAGAGCAGTATATGCATGTCGGATGCCTCTCAGACCCAAAGTCACTTGTTTCAAAATGAATTCTCCTTGACCCTAGAGAAAGCACACTCCGTTTGAAAATGCATGGCAGGAAGAGGTGAGTTAGGTTCTTAGGTTCTTTTTTAGGAGTCCGAACTTCCTGGGACACTAGGTAAGACCTAGTAAAAGTAAAGTGTCTCTCAGCAGCTCTCTGCCACTTTGGGGGAAGTTGTGTCACTTTTAAGTTCTGATGCACTCATACACCTCAGCTCCTAAAGGAAGTGCTATATATTCTCTAGAGCACAGCAAAGTTGGGCTCTGCTTTTCTTTGGAAATTCTGGGAGCATGGAAATCTGGAAAGCTGAGAACTCTCTAGAACCCAGGGGTTGAATTTAGGAGGTGCAAGCTATTCCTCCATTCAGGGAACTCTACAGTTTCCTAATTGAGCAGAGAAATATCAGCTTTGCAGGGGCCATTCTGTACGTTGAGGTTTTAAAGAGATGCCATCTAGTATTTGGTATGTATTAACTTATTCAGTTCATTAGTATTTGCATAAATATTATCTGCGTACCTATGTTTATATATGCATAATACGTATTTCTGTATATATTTTTATTTCCTATGCATTGGGGCTCACAGGAAAGTATTTTAAATATAGTCTTTTAAAGCTTTACTCTGTCGTTGGTGAAAGGAATTATACTTGCAAATCATAATAGCTCAAGGTACTTGATTAGATAGTGGTTGAAATGGCTCTGTTGGAGTTTATAAAGTGATCTCTCAGAGAGAGAGAGAGAGAGAGAGAGAGAGAGAGAGGACACAGAGAGAGAAAGAGAGAGAGGTTTCAAGAAGAAAGTGGTGTTCTAAGGATCTTATCTTTGAGCCCTGAAGGGTCTAAATTAAATCAGGTCCTTTTTTTACTATGTGGGGGTTGGGGACTTTTCTCCTAAGGTGGCGGCTTCCCAGCAGAGCTAGATTTTGTGCTGGGAAGCTAAAAGTTCTTAGCATTTCTTCTTTTATGGGGTGCCCCAATAGATCAGATGGCCCTAATCAGATCTTCAAACCAATTCCTGTTTATCAAGTGGTTTTCTTAATTGTTCCCTTCCCTTTCAAAACAAAATTGATGTATTGATGGAAATATGGGGTCTCTGTCCCCAAAGAAAATCTTTGGATGGAAAGAACTGTTGCTCATTCCAGAAATGGCCAAAGCACCTAGGCCTGAACTTTAAAAGTGGACTTGGCCTAATTCAGCTGAGGCATTCTCACATGACCAAGGCATGTTTTTGCAGTACCAAAGTTCTCTGCATTACTGTCACCAGATGCAATGGGAGAAAAAGTGAAAGGTAAAGGGAGCCTCCTGGTATTGAAGAATTTTAGCCACATGTTCAATTCAAGGACCTTTACGAACCTTCTAGATCACTATAATTCCGTTTTACAGACCTTTAATTTAAGGCACAGCAGAAGCAAAAAGAATTACAGGCTCCTGGAGAGCTGGAAGGAGTGGGTTCCTCCACTCCAACCTTACCAACAGTGCGATTCCCAGAAAGAATTTCTTAAAAAGAAAATTTTGTTTTCCACAGTTGTAACTTTAGGTGGTATGCTTTTCAGCTTGTTTATATTAGCTGTCTGGAGTTGAGCTGACATTTTTCAAATATGAACGTGGTAGAATGCCTTTTGAGGAAATCTGAACTGTAAGTTAACAGGAAGGGCACCCAGAAAACGCAGGAATTCCTGCACTTTACCGGAAGACAGCTACAGGAAAAATGTGTCATCTACATTACCCGGCATAGAAAAACTATTGTTATCAGCCAAGATCGCAGGGAGGGAGGGGGTAGGGAGGGAGGGAGGGAAGAGGTGTGTTGGCTCCCGATTTACCTGCAAATATGCAAAAAAGTTTGGCTAGGTTAAAATGCACCCTTTCTCATACCCCCTCCCCCCTCCCATATACCTTTCTTTAAAATATGAGTTTACCTTCCCTTCATAGACTTAGAGGTAAATCATGTGAGAAATGTGTAGCGGGCGTGATTCAGAAGCTTGTGTGCGTGGGGGCTGGTGGCGGGTTGCAAGGACGGGAGTCTACTCTGAGTTCTTGGCTTCTGTAATTTATTCCACCCTGGGAAATGAGATGTGTAAATTTCTCATTCGGGATAAATTCCTTTGTTAGGTCGTACCAGGCGGACTTGTCATGCTTAGCCTGTAACATGAGCCAGTATGTTTTATAACCCACGTACATCTCAGGGCACACAGCAGAAGAGGGGATCCTGGATTTGGTTTGTGTGCAACTTGGCTTGTGCTCCCTGCTGCCAGCCAGCTACAGAGAGCCTGGGGCGGGTGGGGTCAGGGGGTGAGCGTTGTGTGTGGGGGGGTCCTGCTGGTCAACTTAATGCTTGAGGAAAGGGTTGAGCTTCTTATCTCTTTGTTTTTCACACCTACATTTAAGGGTCACCGCTTGCATTTTAAAACCCAGCAGATCAATCAGGAATATTTTAAAAACCTGTTAAGAATCATACATACATCATACTTGCACATCATAGAATTATCTAAGAATAAAGAAAGGCAAAACTTAGAATATTAGTTCTCTCTGTACAAGTTTTGGGACTTTTTCCTCCTCTCTCTATTTGTACACAGATAAATGCAAAATGTCTGTTGAGATCCTATTGGTTTCATTTGCTAACGTACTTTGAAACAGTTCCAGGTTATTATCTACCTATATTTATAACATCCAATTCCATTATGCTTGTTTAAATAGAAACTTTATGTTTATTAGCTTTCAGTATTATGAATATTGGCTGATATCATCCCAGTTCAAATCTGGTATTTTGGACCATGAGTAAATCCCAGCATCAACACTATAGGTTATGGGGCTGGAGCGATAGAACAGTGGGTAGGGCATTTGCCTTGCAGTCCGGTGACCCGGGTTCAATTCCCAGCATCCCATATGATCCCCCAAGCACCGCCAGGAGTAATTCCTGAGTGCAGAGCCAGGAGTAACCCCTGAGCATCGCCACGTGTGACCCCAAAAGCAAAAAAAAATAAACAAAACCAAAACAAAACAATACCTATAGGTTCTGAATAGGTAGCTCCCCATTTCCTCTCCATCTTTTATGAAACTAGCTGTATGTGTTGTAAAAAGAATGAATAATATTTTTAAAAAAAACAAACTCAAGAGAAATCCATAATAAAAAAATAAACTAATCTTAAGTTGAGTTTTCTCTTTGCATTTAATGTACTTACATACACAGGCAATACTTTCTGCTTTACATACTATGATATTTTCTAACATGCTTTGAACTTCTGCAGTTCTGAGACTCCTTTCCATATTGCTACAAACACAGTTACTTCATTCATCTTTTTAACAATCTCTGGTTTAATTTGTAAGAAAAGTAACTTTAATCAATATTTTCTTGGACTTTCACAGAATTTCCATTATTTCTTTTTCTTTGTTGTAAAGCATCCTGTGTGGAATATTTTGACTTTGCACATTTGCCCAATAATCTCTTTAAGATGAATTCCTGGAGAGAAGCCGGATCAGAGGGCGTACATGGATATCGGTCCAGGATGCAGGCACTCATTCTCCTCCCCATCAGTAAAGCCTGGAAGTGTCCATTTGCCCCCTTTTAAACATCAGAGCAAAACTATTGCAGAACCAGTTCCTCTCCAGAAAGGTTCTGTTCAATGCCTTCATCCTGGGTTTAATCATTTGAAAGAGCCTTTTTTTTTTTTATCAATTTGATAAAGTCACTAATACTTTACTCTTATAGCTTCCTTCCTTCCTTCCTTCCTTCCTTCCTTCCTTCCTTCCTTCCTTCCTTCTTTCTTTCTTTCTTTCCTTGTTGGGTCACACCCAGTGTTGCAGAGGGGTTACTCCTGGCTCTGCACTCAGGAATTATTCCTGGCGGTGCTCAGGGGACACTATGGGATGCTGGGAATCACTGAGGTCGGCCAAGAGCAAGGCAAGCGCCCTAACCGCTGTGCTGTTGCTCCAGCCTCCTA